ATATACTGTATTAGACAGTTTTTTTTATCTTTCTGATGATTCCTTGTTAAGTTTTTCATCTTTGAAAGTCTTCGCATCTTGTTTTCCAGATTAGATAGAGGTATTGGCTCATTTCTTATCTGATTTTCTTGAGACATTGGAGTCTGAAAAGTTTGTCAAGGATGCAAGATATTGCTAAATGGTATGTTTCTTTCAGTATTGTACCTTTGATTGTGATTTTGAGGTATTCAGTGTACTTGAGAAAGGTGTAGTCTCTGTATTTAATTATTTGTGTTTTCAGATCATCTTTTATGCTATGTTGTCCTAATTTCTTGATTATGATAGCTTCTAACTGCTTTGTTGTTTCCTTTTATTGTTCATGGAATAGGAAAAGGTGTGTATTTGTTTCTTTTTCTCCACATTTAACACATTTGTCATCCTTGTATATACTTGGTAGGCGTGTATTAAATTTGGTCTTGATGGGCAGTTCTTCATTCCAGAGGCAAAGATTAAATTTTCTCTATTGTTGGTCTTTCCAATTGGTTAGTAGTTCACTTATCTGTGTTGGTTGCAGCATGGACATTGTTGTTGGCCAGTGAATTTGTTCAATGACCCTGTTGCCAAAGTCAGTTTTTGTTCTGTTGAGAAGTCTCCACTTTGCAAGGTGTATGGCTCTCGTGAGTTCTTGGGTCATCTTTTTTATGAGGATGTCTAAGAGTCTATTGTTTTACTGGAGAATAAGTGTGTACTGTAGGTTTTGTATGTGGTGGACTTCAATGTTCTTTTCTTCCAGTTTCATTCCCAACCTTGTATTTACATTTGCTAATTGATCTGTTTAGTCATTATATTTATTGTCTGAGTGTGCTTTGATTTTGCAGAGATTAAGTTTGAGGTGGTTTTCCTTGATTAGATCTTTTAATTGTTATAGAATTCCAAGGTTTTTCTGTTTTCTTAGGTTGATGATATAGTCAGTTTGGATAATCTTATAAATACTGTTGATTGCGGCTTGACTATCTGTGTAGATGTTTGCTCTACTAAATGGAGGCAGTGTGTTGGTAACTATCAGAATGGCCATTAACTTGGCTCGGATTGAAGAAGGGAAGTTCTCCACTTGCCCTTGGAAACATATTTCTTGATCTCCTCTAGTTATAATGACCCATCTGAAGCCCATGTAGTTTCTTTTCTGGTGTTGTGACAGAAATCCATCCATATAGATTTTAAGTTAATCTCGTTTTGTATCTGTTTGGCAATGTTTATCAATTCCTCTATCCCTGGCCTGGGTGCCTTGAGAAATTTGTTCAGGCATGCTATGTATGGATTGTTCTTCAAATATGTGGCTGTTTGTTTCTTTCTCAATCACTGTACTTTCTTGTTGGAAGTATTTTTGGAGTGCCATACTAATCGAGTTAGGTGAGGTCCTATTTCTAAGTTTGATAGTATTTGTTATGTTGATTCATGTGGAGTTTCACTTCTTTTATACAGGGAGTGTTACTGCATTTCCTCTTGAGGTGTTGAAGGTGCATGGATAGATGGTTGTCTGTTTTGATTGATGTTACATTCTATACATCTATTAATGAAGATTTGTTGGGTTCCTGGGTATAATACCTGTATGTGGTCTCATTGGCATTAATTTTCCTTTTTTTTTTGCCAATTACCATTGTGTTGTTGATCTTCTTAATGAGATTTTTATATATATACTGTTTAATGTTCGACTTTGGCCTGTATTCTTTTTGTCAGTGCAGATGGTTCTCAAGGTTCTGAGTGTTTCTAGGTATGGTTCAGTTGTAGAAATGTTCTCTTGTTCTTTGTTTAATTTCCTTGGGGTCTGTGATTATTTGTATTGTGTCTTTAAGTTGTATAATTAACCTATCTAGATATATATGTTTTTTGGATCTTTCCATAATACTGTTTATCATTGCTCTCTTGTTATTGTTGAAGTATCCTTGTCTAATTTAGATTCTTTTCTTTATTGCAATATTTTGTTTTCTATAAGTGATGGCTTTGGCTATTGTTTTGTGGGCTTTTATATTGTTGTGTGTTATTTGGATCTATTCGTCAATGAAGGAGGTGGGATGGGTAACTCTAAGATTGTTTAAATGTGCTGTTATGTCAGGGAGACTGTCTTAAATATCTTGAGGAATGATTGAGTTGTGTGATATGTTACTATTGGCTGGCTTCTCACTTTTCTTTTTTAGTTATATTTTAAAGCACTAGAGTTAGATAATAAGAGATAATGTTCCTGTGTGATATAGTTGTTGTTTGTTTTTGCGGTATATTTTTTTTTTCTAAATGTGTTGTTTCGCTGCTTTCTGAATGATATTACAAAAGCTGTTCCATCTTTGGTCTATTGATTAGTTGTTTCTGCTTATATTCTGCTATTGAATTTCTTGTTCTATTTGTTAACTGAAGTCTTCCCATTGCTGTAATGTTGTGAGTTGCCAATTGTACCTATGGTTGGGTTTGTTAATCGGTATTTGCTTGAGTTTGTCTAGACTCCAGATCTCTATTTCAGTTATTATAGGAATGTGATCACTTTGGATTAAAGAGTTAGTACAGTTTTCAATTGTCATACTCCTTGACTGCCAGGTTGCCATGGAGTTAATCCATATTTGGTCTATTCTACTGCTTTCGGCTCCTCTGTTCCAGGTGTACATACTGTTACAAGGTTATATATTCTGTATGTGTTCTCCAGTCCATTGTTGATCAGAGTCAGGATTTGTTTGTCCGAGGAGGTACAATATCTAGGTTTCTCTTTAGGATCACATCTGTCTAAAGCTGTATTTGATATCACATTTAAATTACTCATTACGATGAGATACCAACCATTTGCAGTTGCTTCTATTATTTATTTGAAGAGGATATTTATTACAGTGGTCTTTTTCCTATCCATATCCTGTGCTGGGAAATAGACACCTATTATTTGTATTTTCTTTTTGTGTGAAAAAGCTAGGTCCATAGCAATGAGTCTGTCTGTTAGGGTTTTATATTTGTATATCTAGTACGCGATGTCTTTGTTTATTATCATGTTAAGACCTTGGCCTATTATTTGTGATTCTTTTTGTGTCCAAATGGTTTGGTATTTTTCGTGTCACCAGTGCTTAGAAGTATGATGTGAACCATTGGTTTCTGTGGTGACTATAATATCCCAGGTCATTGCAGCGCAGAAATTGAACCAGGCGTCTCTTTTGTGTAGTTCTGATATACCTTATATGTTAAAGGTTGAGAGTTTCCAGATGGATTTATGCTTGGTGGGACTGTTTTTGGTATTGTGTGTTGCATTATGTGTTTCGTCCATATTGTTTTTGCTAGTGTTTATATTTTTGGTATGTGTTATTTGAGGATGATTGTAGCTTTGATAGTTTTTTGTGTCAGTATTTTGTGTTTCTAAATTTTTTTGGTCATTGGTTGTAGCTTTGTTGGAGTTGTTGTTACTGCTGTTGTGGTTTCACATATTTATAAATATTGATTGTTATGTATTGTGTTTTCTTTATTATTGGGAATAAGGTCTGAGATGGTACTGACTAGGGCGGTCATTGTACTATCTATGTTACCGATCGATGTTCGTAATTGATGCTGTTGCTATTGAATGTTGTGCATATGTCTGTCTGTATGTTTCGAGCTATTAGTATCCTGGGTTTCTTGTGGGTCTTCGTCCATGTTGGAGTTGTAATTTTCATCCCAATTTTCTAAGTTAACAATTCTTTTGTCTAGTTCTGTTACTGCTTCTTTAATGTTGGCAATCTCTTTTTGATTTCTTGTATGTTGTGAAAGATTTGATGCAATGTTTCTTCTAGATTGCTGGATGTTGAATTGGGTCTTACTTTGGATCTGACTGCTGCTGCATATGAGCCCGGGCATATAGGTTTAGTATTGTTTTTCCTTTTCACTAGCCTTCTGATGCTTGTAGTTTTGGTGGATTTGAAGCGTGTATATAGTTGATCAAATCTCTTTGCTTGTTCTTGTTTGTAGTTTTGTCATTGTTGTCTTCTTTTTTTGATGTGACAGTCTTTTACTAGGTGCGAGGTGGCATCACATATGGTACATAGTTTGGTGTTTATTGGCTGCCATTTGATAATTATTTCTCCAAGGGTATAGTTTGTTGTGATGGCTAGCTGTATATCTTGCTCATTTTCAAAACTGATCAAGTATAGCATTTATATTTGTAGTTCATTCTTCAGGAAATGTAGCATATTTTGCTTCTTGTTTATTGATATATGTGCCTCAAGTCAAATGCATTCATATCTGGGGGAAGGTTAGTAAGTTTGAGGGAGAGGTTGTCTCTATCTTTCATTTGTTGGAGGGATCATTCTGAGTCAAATATTTTGAGTGAATCTGCTTTGCACTAGATGCACTAATTTTCCAGGAGCTTGTACTTGTCTGTATTTTCTGTATATGTGATGATGGTTGACTGCCATATACATTGTGTTGCAATTGAGATGTTCTAATCTAATCATATTTTGTGAAGGTCTGTTGTATGTTGTAGAAAGTTGTGTCCAGGGGGATGTCCCAGACTGTAACACTGTTCACCTTGTTGGTTATGTTTTTCATATCTGGTATGTATTTCATTGTTAGGTTGTCTGTTTCTGATAAGTGTATACTGCTGGCGTCCTTGGCTATTTGTGGATTGCTAAAAAAGGCAGTGATAAACTCCTGATTATCAGATTTCTCACTGCGGATACTGATCAGGCCATCGGGAGAGTTCAAAGCCTTGGATATATATGCTATCTTGTTGTATGTGAGTTTTCCAGGAATTTTTCTAGCCTGTATGCTGAGTTTAGTTCTCTCACGCCAGTATCCTGCGCTTCAGTCGAAGGGTGACCTTAGGCAGGGTTTGCTGTTTTGGGACGTATTTCTACTATTTCTTTGATTTTTCCTTTGTTTGGTTGAAAGGCTTAGTCTTCATGCCATTTGTTTACGTCTCTGATTACATCTTCTTGGCTGGTCTCGTTTTCAGTTTTCAGTCTCATTTCTGTGTCCGAGTCCATTGGATCTGTGGTCATTTGTGTGATGTATGGTTGGATTCAGAGTTGTTTTTCCATTTCGTGGGGTGTGGCTGTGCCTGTACCATTTTTTACTGAGTTAGCTTTCTCTTTGAAGCTGTCACTCCAGGATGATGAGTTGGAGTTGTCCATTCTTGTAAGGGCTTGGGAGCCATGGGCCCGAAGTTGTTGCATTTGAAAAGAGGTGGGTTCCAAATCTGCCGGGGTTTCCTTTGCTGATCTTGCAGTTTTCTCCACACTGTTGGGCTTCTTTTCTACTGTTGTTTGTTTGAGTGTAGCTCTAGGGCTGGCCAGGTTCTTTGATAGGGCTTCCTTATTATAGTTTGGGTGGGAGGTTGCGTTGTAACTGCGAAGCATCCTTTGCAAGTACATTCTTTCTTGCTTTTGTCTGGGGGGTTAGTGGGAGTGTTTGCTGTGTCACTGATGTGTGGAAAAGAGTTTATCAATATTTCAATTAATATATATAATATTACTTAAAGATATCAATATTAATTTAAATTAATAAAGATTATAAGAATTTATTAATTGATATTTTAAGTATTTATAAAATTAAATTAATAGAAAAAACTATTAACTTTACTTTCAACTCATAATAAACATATAAGTTTTTTTTACAAATGTAATAATAAAAGGCTTAAAGAATTGATATAGATTTCTTAATCAATAAAATTTTTTAAAAAGCTTAAATTTATTAACAGGAGTTAACTTTCTATTAATAAAATATAAATTTTATATTTATTAAGTCTATTTACTATTAAAAAATTAAGAATAATCAACTTTAATAAATATTGCAAAATAAGATTCTAGATTAATAAGAAAATATTTCAAATTATAATTATAGAGAACTTAATACAATTATTAATTTAATAGCAAATTAATCAGATAAATCTTATTATTTATATTATATATTTTAATAATACTATTAATAACTAAAAGAAATATTAGTTTATATTTTTGTTTTTATATGAATTTAATTTCATTATAATTAATTTTAGTAATATCAACAGAATAAATTAATATAAAATCTTAAATAATAAAAAATTTTAATTTATTTAAAAAAATTTTTTATTTTAATTAGACAAAATTTGAAATTAAGAATTTTTTTTTTAAATTAAACTATAAGATTAAGTAATTTGTTTATTGTATTATACTTAAATTTTTAGAATTTAACTAATATATTCTTTAAAAATTATAAAAAATATTTTAGTTAATAATAATTTTTTTATTACTATTATAATTAAAAATATTTATACTATTATTTAACAAAAGAAATATTTAAAAATATAATTATTTGAATAATAAAAAATATAGTATATATTGTATTAATGATTTTAATTAAATATAATTATTAAAAGATATTATATTAAATATAATATAAATTAGACCTGTGGATCAATAGTATAGTAGTAGTATTCTCAGATCGCAATTACAAAGTCTGTAGTTCAATACCACTTAAGGCCCAAAATCAAAAATTACTTTCTGATCAGATTTGACCGGTTATCTTGTGAAAGTCATACCCAATCATTCAGAACAAATTTGAAATCAAGTTAGGCTATAGGAAGATAGGACTTCTGTCCTTCTGTCGATCAGAGGCTGAGATTTACAGTTATAATACTGAAAGGATTGCATGAAAAAAGGCTTCTGGTCTAGCTTATCATAGATGCCTTCAAGACTCTTTATCCTGGCAGTCTCAGGACCTCCACTCCCCTAGCTCAAGATATCCCAATCTAATACTTCGCTTGATTAAAAATCAGTTAATAGAAACTGATTCAATGCCACAGGTGGTGACAAAGAAGATAACGTGCCCCCTTCTGAGGTCTGAATATTTAATATCTGGGAATATTGAAGGGTATTACACATTCCATCGGGTATACACAAAAAAGGACTAGCTTAGTGAAACAATAAAAATCTTGTAAGCTCAATACTAACTAGCCTAGCATAGCCGTTGATGACTATGTATTAACTATCTGGCCCCTAGGTAGGTCTGTTCACTTAAGGAGTGGTAATAGGTTTATCTAGGACAAACCACGATAGGTTATCATTAATCTGTATGTATATATAAATATATAAGATTGTATAAGATGATTGATGTAATGCTGAGAATTTCATTATCCAAACATTAAGTTAATTCTTAATAAATAGCTTGCATTTAATACCAGTTGTAGTTTTTTTTTTTAAAAAAAAAAGGTAAATATAATATAAATTAATTTTTTAAATTATATAAGATTCTGAAATATATTATAAGTTATTAATCTTTTGCAAGCTAATTACTAAAGTTAATTAAATATATTTTTGAAGTAAATGCTTTTAGTAAACAATAATTCTCTTTAAATATTATATAAGAAAAAATTAAAATGAAGTTTCTTAGATTATTAGAAAAAAAATATATTTTAAATAGTATTAATATATTTAAAAAATTTTTTGAAAAATTGGAATTTAAAAAATATCAAATTTTTTAATTTTATATATATATATACAATTTCATAATTTTATATTTTTTCTTTCTTTTCTTCTATATTTTTACTTATTTTTCTAATATTACAAAAAAACAATCTATTTTGACAACTGAAGATAAAATAAGTTATTAAGAAATATTTATTCAAAGTACTTATTAAGTATCATGTTGTTTCTATAAATAAACTTAAAAACTATAGCTTAAGATATATATTTTGATAAAAATACAGTTTAGCTTAGGTTTTCCATGCATGCAATACTTAAGCATATTTTACAAAGTATTATTTTACGAATAAACACATATTAATAGCCTGGCTTATTGAATTATTGCAAAAAAATAAAAATAAATAAAATGGAATAGAATAGAATACAACTATATAATTTTAAAAATGTTAACTAAATATAGAAAGTGAATAAATTGAACCAAGAACACATTAGAAAATAATTGATAATTTTGATTCAAACTCATTTAAATTTACATTTTATATTATTAAAGTGACAATTAAAATAGTACCATATATTATAATATTTAGGAACGAGAAGTGAAAATCTTCTATTTAAATTTCATAACATTAGTTTTATATTAATATAAAGTAACAAATCTTATTATTTAAAAATGATTTCTACATTTTTGGTTTATACTGTAGTTAATGGTTTAGATAATAATTTAATATAATAAAAAGAAAAGGAAATTATTCTTGCTCAGAGTAGATAAACAAAAATTTACAAAGAAATGCTGATTGGAATGTTGGCTTCCCAAGTCTAGGAGAATTGTAGCCAATACTTTAATACTACTGTACAACCGCGGAGAGTGCGCAACCAATTACAAATACTTCATGTTATGCAACCGTGTCCTAATCACAATGTCACATGTTACAGGGAGTATACAACATGTTTTGATCACAAATCCTCAGTTTCAGAAGATAAGTAACCTTGTCTAACACAACTTTACTGTAACTTATGGGAATCACACAGTCGTACTCACTTAATTAACCTGTTGCAGGAGAGCACAACATATTTGCAAACGAAAGTCGACGGCATCGCGATAGGTGCTAAAGTTGAAGTGAGAAGGTGAAAAATATGAGGGTGAGTCACTTATTTCGCTAATGCATTTTCGTGTTTAATTTAAGATTTAATGCTATTTTTAGATTCTACTAAAGTATCATTTTTCAGAGAATTAAATGTTCGTGTCATTTATAACCGTAGTACCAATTGACTTTGAATTCTTAGTACAATTTTTAACACCAATTGTCTAATCATTCAGAATTCATGTGAATGTAGTAAACAACATGTTGCGTTTTTCGACGATAGTATGTGCGTTTAATTTTTTTAAAACATTATTTTACCCTTAAAGCATATAAAAAAATATGTATACTATATTTGGTTTTACAAAGAATCAAAAAAATGGCAAGCAATTGTTGATCACGAAAATCTTTGATTAAAATTTAAAAAAACTGACACCAAATGGTTATTCATAAATAGTTTTTTTAGTATTATTAAATTTGGCCATTATATTTTAGTGTAAAAGAATCATGAATACAGCCATAATTAAAGAAATCCGTTAAAAAATACACATCCTTTAAGTTAGATTCTAAGCCTTGACATCATGTATAACAAGGGTTACGATTGTCACCTAATCCATGTACAGTATATTTATCTTTGCTAGCACTAGCACTGCAATGTTTCGTGTAACATATAACAATGACACAAATTTTTTATTGTCCTCTTGATTACATAGAAAACAATCCAATGTTAATTCATTAGAAAATTTCAACTGTCGTGTATAACGACTGGGCTATGTAGTACTGAAATAAGTTCAGGAAAAAACCAGCAAAATTCAAATATTATTAATCATTGTTTGGATAACGAGAAAAATCCCATTATTAAAGCCATTCTCGGGAACTCTTGTTATTCTGAAAGAGATTTATTTAGAGAACTATCAGGTTTGAATAGTCCAGAGAGTGCATGTTATGTCGGAATTTTTTATGAAAATGGAATTGGAGTCGAAAAGAATGAGGACAAGGCATTTAAATCCTACCAAAAATCCGCCGATATGAAGTATACTGAAGGGATGTTTCGTGTTGGTTGTTGTTATCTTAACGGGACTGGAATCGAAAAGGATGAATGCAGGGCATTACAGTATTTTAAAAAATCAAAGAGTTCTGAAGGAATGTTTAAAATTGGATATTTATATTTCGAGGGTATTGGCGTCACAAAGAATGAACCGAAAGCATTCAAGTATTATTTAAAGTCATCAAAGATGGGTATTGTCGAAGCAACATTTAATGTTGGTTATTTTTACGACAAAGGAATTGGGGTCAAAAAGGATCTTCGCAAAGCATTCAAATATTATGAAAAATCTTCTAATATGAAAGATTCCAATGGAACCTATAATCTTGGCTATTGTTTTCTTAATGGAGTTGGAGTTAAACAAAATCAACGTAAGGCATTTGAATGCTATTTAAAAGCTGCCGATATGGGTAATTCCGACGGAATGTCTCAAGTTGGTTATTGTTACTCTAAAGGAATTGGAGTTGAAAAAGACGATCCCATGGCATTCAACTATTACCAAAAATCTGCCGAAATAGGTCACATAGATGGAACGTTTATGGTTGGATATTGTTATCAAAAAGGAATTGGAGTTGAAGAGAACGAATATAAAGCATTTGAATACTATCAAAAATCGGCTGAAATCGAGAATCCAGATGGAGTTTTTCAAGTCGGTTATTTTTACCATGAAGGGATCGGAGTTGAAAAAAACGAGCATAAGACATTTGAATATTATCAAAAATCGGCCATTATGAATCATATTAGCGGAACATTTAATGTTGGTTATTGTTATCAGAATGGGATTGGTGTCAAAAAGAATGAACGCATGGCATTTGAATATTATCAAAAATCAGCCAAAATGGGATATC